ACACAAGCTATGAAAAGGATAACACTGCCATATATCAAAAACATCTCAGAAACAACCAACAAACTATTACAACCACACGGCATTATGGTAGCACACAAACCAATTAAAGCCCTCCAAAATATTTTAAGTAAACTAAAAGACCCAGTAGCCCAAGAAGAAAAAACAGGAGTCATCTATAACATACAGTGTAAGGACTGTAACAGTCACTATATAGGAGAGACAGGCAGAAGACTAGCAGAGCCCATCCATGAACACCAAGTAGAAGTCAGAAGGCATGATGAAAACTCCTTAATCTTACAATACATGGACAGACTCAACCACAGTTTCAGCTGGGAAAATGTGAGCATCCTAGACCAATCCACAAATGCTAGGGAATTCCTGGAAGCTTGGCATTCAGACAAATCAGCCATCAGTAGACACATAGAAATAGACCATATTTACACACTATTCAAAAGAGACAATACAAAAGCTAAGAAGGAAACAAAAAGACCAAACACATGCTCTCCAGCAGTCAACAACCCAGATAAGCAGGGATTAACACGAGGCAAACAAGCAAGCAGAAAACAATACCTTAATCAAGGAACTACCAAGGAGAAAACCACACCCCCACCAAAACTGGCAGGGTAAGCTACTGTATATAAACAGGCAAGCAAACAACCAAGCTTTTTCTCATGATTTAAACAATTACAGAGCTTCAGTGATTAAAAGATATTGTAGTCTTTTAAAATGGCTGTTGAAAGAAAACATGGTTTTCTTGATAAGGACATGGCAGACCTTAAAGAGATGGTTACTGTATCTCATGAGAAAGGAATAAATCTACTTGAATGTGCTGATAAAGAAGGCACAAAACATTCTGACAAGCTGTTGAAAGGGAATAAGGATGTTTAAGATGAATTATTTTATAGGGCTTGTTATGTAGAAATAATCTATATTTTTCTGAACATTCACTATTTTGCTGAGCAACGTTTGGTACAATTTATGAAAAAAATCTTATGTGAGATGTTCTCACTTCAGCCTGAATGGAAGCCGGAAATAGAAACTGTATATTGTACTGTATAGGTTACAGATTCCATACATCCCAGAGATCCAGCCTCATGTTGTTTGGTTTCTCAGATGCATAATGAATGGTAATATTTTACTACTGTTGACACATGTTGGACCTTTCTAACTGAAAGCCATGAAGATAATGGTTTTGGGTGGTAGTTAAGAAACACAAGATGTAAAATGGGGCACATTTAGTAGCAAGACAAAAGGGGATGAAACTTATATTCTATATCCAGCTACTTTTTGTTTATGCCTAGATATTGGCATGAATAAATTCTCTGATCTGGAAGCTGCTGACAATTTTTCCCCTGGGATCAAAAGAACAAGAAACAGTTGTCTATTTATTTCTACTATTTTTATTATTTCTTAATTTGGAGATGGACCTTCCAGTTGAGGGGAAAAGTCCCTGTTCAGCAGTTTCAGTGTGTCCTTTCTGGGAATCCTTGTAGTACTTTTTTTATTTCTGATGATAATTAATGTATATTATCTTTTTTTCCTTCTTAAGTTCCTTCTTGGATTTTGTACTATATTGCAGTTCTAAAATATGTTAATTTTATTTTGTATTTTGAATTTTTTTTATGTGAAATATTGACTGTTGTTAAAAAAAAAATCTATTTTTCTTATTTATGCTTGACTCATGGAAATGGATAGATAAAATAATAATAAGTAGTAATTCCAAACTTGTTAATAGGTAATTCAGAAGGATAGTTTTTAATATTAGTAATTATAATAATAGAGTAGCACTTATTAATTTCTATTATCTAATAACTGTTTTGCTCAATTTTTTAGTTGTTTGGTAGTAGAGCAGATAGTTATACCTAGACATTTTAATTGTTGGGTCCTTGATTAGCTGATTGTATACAGTTTCAAGTAAATTGAGCTTTCACTCATGGAATGTGCTACAAGCTTATTTATAGGAATTAAATTTGACAGATATGTGGTGACTTCTGAATCCATCTCCACATGAATATACTTTTCCTCATAAGACTTGTTCCGAACAGGATTATGTTATAGTTTCTGTCTTTAGTTGAACATATAGTAAGCTGCTTAGAGTTGGATACATCTCTGATGCATAATGAAAGTATTAGTAATAAATAATTTTACATTTCTCCTGATAAATTTCCCATACATCCCATGAAAACACACTGTTTTAAAAGTAAAGCGTGAATAGATTAATTTGGAGAATCCTAACCTGGTTTTCTGCCATTCATCAGTAGCCTGACATAGGTTCCCCTCCACAGAGCCTGAAGTTTAACTGCAGCTTCCTCTTCTTCAGGGGTAGACTCTCTATTCTGCCAAAGAGGGACACTTACCTCTGTTGCATCTGAAAATACATATATACATACCAAATATATACATATCAGTACAAAAATTAAATTCAGAGAAATCATGATATGCAGTGGGTGACTTGGAATGAAATGTTTTATAGAGCTACAATGAACAATATTTTTTTCTTTTAAATTGTTTTATGTTATTTGTGAAAACCTTCAGGGGGCCTTTTGCCTGAAAAAGCAACTAAAAATAAATATCCATGTTACATTATAGTTATTATGATGAGTTCTATGTATTAACAATGAACTCTATTCTGTAAGTTCTGATCCTTATGTATCCCAAACTATATATCTATGCACAAAAGAAAAATAGTATACACACATATTTAGCGAAAAAATCCTAAACAGAGGAAACCTCACAAACACTACAGAGGTATAATTCAAAAGGTAAACTCACTGCTTATTTCAAAAGGGACAGAAAACAAAACAGTACTATAGCACCATTATATAAAAGTATATCATGACTATTGTTAGAATACTGAGTGCAATTTCACAAAGATATTGGAAAACTAAAAATGACAGCAGAAAACTGAAATGGCCACATCATATGAAGAAAAGCTTCAAAAGCTGAGTGCGGGGCTCCCAGTTGTCTCTTCATCCTTGTACCCCCTCTCATAGTGTTCAAATCTGTTCAAGAGGATTTACTAACTCTTTAAAACAAATTTGTGGCAAATACAGAGTAGTGAGAGAAGGGGAATCCATTCTGTCAGTGGTGCCCATTCCACTTGCACATAGAAAGCAACAGGAGAAATTTACAATATACTAGGTAAGGATCAATCTATGGCTGGTGTGGGTCTTCCGGGCTGTGTGGCCGTGGTCTTGAAGTTTTGTTTCCTAACGTTTCGCCAGCACCTGTGACCGGCATCTTCAGAGTGCAGGAGCACAGACAGGAGGACAGCTGGGCACAGAGAGAACTGCTCCTGTCT